TAAGGGTGGCACTATCCCAGGGGTGACACTGGCCCAGGGGTGGCACCATCCCAAGGGTAACACCAGTCCCAGGGTGACACCAGCCCAGGGGTGACATTGGCACTGAGGTGGTGCCACCTCAAGGGTGGCACTATCCCAGGGGTGACACTGGCCCAGGGGTGACATTGGCACTGAGGTGGTGCCACCCCAAGGGTGGCACTATCCTAAGGGTGACAGCACACAGGGGTGACACCAGCCCAGGAGTGGCACTGTCCCCAGGGTGACACCAGCCCAGGGGTGACATTGGCACTGGGGTGACGCCACCCCAGGGTGACACCAGCACCCCTGGCTCAGCCCAGGCCTCCCCAAGCCCCTTAACTGTGAGTGTTGAGCCCTGAACAGAGCCCAGAGCCACCCCTGGGGAGGTGACACCCATGCGGAGGTGACACCCATGGGGAGGTGACAGCCCTGGGGAGGTGACACCCATGGAAAGGTGACACCCAGAGGTCCCTCTGCTCGCTGCTCGTGTTTGCACTGGAGTTCTCGTCCTGTCTGTAGGTTTGAAACAATAAAAGTCTGCAGAGGTGATCCTGGTTTTCTGGGCATTTTCAGGGGGTTCTGCTCTGGGAATGCCACTTTGTCTCGGCTGGGGTGGCTCCCTTCCCCTCCCTGCTTCCTCACCAGGGCTGGCTGGGCAGTCCTGCACTGCTCTGGTGGCAGGGGCAGGGAGGGGAGGGCATTCCCAGCCCTTTCTTCCTTGCATCCTTTTATTTCAGGTATTTAGGGGGGCTCACACGTGCCCACGCCTGAAATAAAAGCTGGGAATCAACCCCAGCCTCTGCAATGGACAGAAATGTTCATTCTGGCACTGCAGGGGCCAAAAATCTCATTTTCCCCCAGGATTTTTCCCAGCTTTTCCTTCCAAGAGCTCCAGGTTTGTCCCCCCAGGTGACAGCCATGGCCAGCTGGGCTATTCCATGGGAATATTCCATTCCAAGCTGGGCTATTCCATGGGAATATTCCATTCCAAGCTGGGCTATTCCATGGGAATATTTCATTCCAAGCTGGGCTATTCCATGGGAATGCTGCTGCTCGCTCCTCACATCATCTCACAGGCTGGAGGAATGCAGACATTCCCAAGGCTTCTCCTTTCCCAGAGCCTTTCCATGGAGTGAGGAAAACCTGGGGAAAAGATCCCAGCAGCCCTGGTGAGCCCAGCCTGGGCACGGGGGCAGCACCCGGCACCTCTGGGGCCTCTCAGCCCGCAGGAGAGGCCAGGGAGGGATTGGAGTGGGCATGGGGGTGGAATTCCTGATAAACATTTCCCCATTTCCCCTCTGCACCTTCCCAAGATGTTTTCCCTTCCCACATTACCAGGAAGGACCCTCCAAAACATTTAGCTATGAAAAAATACTTAAATCATCTAAAAAGTTCTGGCAATGTGCTACAGACTCTCAGGCACTGCCTGCATCCAGGATGATTTATTTTACAGCTCATGTTATTTTTTTTACAAGTGATTTTATAGCTCTTTCTGAAATGAAAAGATGCATTACCCAGAGAGAGGATGCTTTGTCTGGGTCTCCCTGGCACTTCCAGCAGCCCCACACAAACCCTTATCTCTGACTCAGATTTGAGGCTTTCTCTGCCAAATTTAGGCAGAAAAAAAGCAATTTCTTTCCCTGCCAGAAGCTTGGTTATTCCTGGTGGTGCCTGAGCCAGATTGTGTGCAATCCATTCTGGGAGGAATGGGCACTTCAGGCTCTGTCACACCCAAAAAAATCAGCTTTTGTGTCAGGAGTGCTGTGGGCTTTGGGAGGAAAACCACCAAGTGTGAGCTCCCCAGCACAGGGAAAAAACGGTGAAAATTTGTGCAAAGCAGTTTGTGCCCAGGATTTGCTGCAGCTCAGCAAGGAACGGCTCAGAGCCCCCGGGAGATTTGTGTAGCTCTTTAATTAATAATAACATCAAGGCCAGCGATCCAGAGTAATGACTGATCGAACAAAGGACACATGCAACACACGGAGGGGGTGAAACGGCGCTGGCAGCTCAAACCCAGCCCAGAGCTGGGCCCCCCCTGCCCAAACCTGCCCAAATGTCACCCAAAAGTGGCCAGAGCCCCCCGAGGCAGCCGAGCCCCTCCCCAAAATCAGCAGTGACAGAGAAGCCCCCACAGCAGGGAGCAGAGAGGGGATCCAGGCGGGCACAAGAGGGCAAGAAAACGAAATCAAATCCAATCCAATCCACAAAAGCAGAAGCTGAGCTGGCATCAGGGGTGCCAGGCCCTGCCAGAGCTGCAGGGAAGGGCAGAAAAGGCTTTGCCCAGCTGCTTTGGGGTGACCATTTCAGCCAGGGCTGGCCAAGGCCAGGGGCACAGGGTGCAGAGGTGCTCCAGCTGTTCGACCTCATTTACATGGCATTAATTGCTGGGGGAGCTGGCAGGACCAAGGTTCCGCTCCCAGCCTTCCACGAAACCCCTAAATTGATCCTTCGGGCCCAGCACAAAGGGAGTGTGGCTTTCAGAGGCACCCGAGGGACTTTTGGGAGCCGTTTCTGCAGCCAGGTTTAGGCTGGGCCTAAATCAGAGCCCAGAACGGGTTGGGAGGACCCAAAATCCTCCCAGTGCCACCTCTGCCAGGGCAGGGACGCTTTTCCCTGTCCCAGCTGCTCCAGCCGGCCTGGGGACACTTCCAGGGCTGCAGGAGCATCCCCAGCTGCTCTGGGAACCCATGGGAGAATTCCTTCTGAAATTCCGGCCAGGTCACCCCCAGACTCTGGGGGTGCTCTGATTTTTGGGGGATGGTCAGGAAGGGTCCCCAAGCCCCTCCTGTGCTGGGTTGTGGGGTTTTTTCAGCCAGATCCACGTGCAAAATCCCTTTGGATGGGCTGTGGAGCCTGGAGCTGCAGCGCCCCAATTAATGCCGTGTAAAACAGGTGCTCGTCACGACAGAAATATTTGTACATTTACATTAAAAAAAAAAAAAAAAAAAAAAAAGCAATACAACCATAAAGAAAAAAAAAAATACAACAAGCACAGCTTGATACGGTAACATGCCATGAAATGTCATTGGCTTTATAATAATTTACTACAACTTGAAAAGTGTTCTTTTATCCACAAGGGATAGGAAATGCTTCCATCTAACATATGGTAAGCATGCAGCAACAATATGTACAACAAAAAAATTTGGAGCTTGTTTTTTATTCCTAAACTGGACGATTCCAAAGGGAGCATTTGAAAATTCTGATTTTTTTTTCTAGCCTGACCTAGGCTTTATTTTGTTTCTCTAAATCTGCAGGGTCTGGGGTTTTTCCCTTAGTTTGAGGAGAAGGAGAATTTCTATGTAGATCTGCAAAAACAGCTTTTACATTTCCCCCAGCAGTAGGTTTATTGGTTAATTAACCAATTAACCAACTTATTGGCTAACGGACACCTAAAAAAAATGAAATTCCCAGTGCTGCCTTGTGGAAAATCAGTTTCCTCCCCGAACATTTCTGAGGTG